GTGCCGCCTCATTCCCCGCGGATCGTCGCTTCTGTGCGACTCCAGGTCGTCGATGTCCAATTCCTGCAGGGTACTCGCCTCTTCCGGTTGCACGCTCACTCTCCTGGTGAAGACGCTCGAGCCATCCGGGAGGCCGGCTCCCGATCGCTTCCTCCATTGCGGGTCCTCTTGGAGCGAGTACTTGCGCGACTTGTGATGGTGTCTTCTGCAACGTACAATTCAACCAATTTGTTACGCGTTCCGCCGCTATCGATGACGACTGCGTCGCATGTGCGCTGCTGTTATATCGCGATCGTCGGTCAGGGTTAGAGCAAATGTGATTTATGTTTCGTCAAGAGACGAGCACAGCTACGAATAACGTCTATTTCGTTAACTCGGAGTGCGCGTGCCAGAACTGTTTTCGTGCTTTGTGCTGGCAGTTGGTCTATCTCGTCATCGACACAAATCAAGAGCAAGCGTTAGCCGCGGGACAAGTATTCATCACCTGATATTTAAAGAGTGGGTGCGTGATTGTGACACGTGTAAACTGCGTTTCTGCGGAGTGTTCGAAACGCTGCGAATCTTTAATAGCGCTGCACTATATATATATATATATATATATATATATATATACACATATATATCGATGAGATCTGACTAGAAAATCGATGAGACGTGTCGAAGCGTTCGCACGCACGTGTATCGTCGTATGTTAAGGGAAACTCAAACAAGTACTTTTTCATTTGTTCCACATGACCGATGTGCAGGGTGTAGCGGTCCGGACGATAATCGAAACCCAAGGACATGGCGGAAGAAAGAAGAGATCGTTACATACGTAGCACTGCGGTCACCGTGAGACGGAGACGCGATCGGATTAATTAGAACAGCACGAAGACAGTGGCCTCAAGCAACAGACTGTTGTTGGGCGCTCGCAAAGTCTGCGTGAAACTCTGGCCGAAGGCCATGGCATTAGACAATAATTGCAAATTGGTTCGCGATTCCTTCCGCTAAATATTATGTCATAGAACCGTCTAACGCTGAAAGCGCGCCGAAATGTCCCCACCCTTCGCGTCCTATCTTTCTCGGTACATTAATCAAAGAATCGAATATCCGCTCCTACCGATAGCGTTTAACGTGCGCGGGTTTTTCTCTCGATTCGAAAGACACGTGCGGTACATAGTTAGCGAATATATACGGCAATTTGCACGCGCCTAGACAACTACGCAACTGTGCCGAAGAATACAGAAATAGGACGGTACGGACAGCGTTTGTTTGGTCGTTGACATCGAGTACATGACACGTATGGTCGTTATTAACCGAGTAATCCGAGCTTACAAATGCCATATGAAAATCGTCGCGTTTGCGTTCCGACTAATTTCTTTGGCGGTAACGCGGGACCATCGCGGTTGATGCTTTCGTGTACGTAATTGCTGAAATACGATGTACACGACGACGTTGAACCGGCTTTCGTGCCGTATGAAAATTAGCCAGGAACGTCCGGGTCGGTCGTTACGAGCAAATTATCGTCAATTCGTCCGACGTTTTAACGGATGATCCCTGTTCTCTCTGTTCGTCTTTCCACAAAATCCAGCCTTTTTACTTTCTACCAGGCCTCTTTTACCTGTGTCACAATCGCGACCTTGCAAATTCATCGATATTCCACGCTTACGACTTACTTGTGCTCGTGTTTCTGATGCCTGCGACACTTGCGATCTTCGTCGTGGTTCACGGCTACACCTACGCTCGGTACCTCGTCCCTTTTGAAGGTAGGCACCTCCTCTTCCTTGATTTTTTCGAATTGTACTCGCGGACTGCCAATGGTGGGACTGTCGCTGATACCGGAAGCAGCCCTCTCCGAGATCGGCGCCTCGCTCTCGCTGCTCGCTACGTTCTCCGTTTCTTCGGTCGTCTCTTCATCCACGTTGTGCACACTCGACGAGTACAATCCGTTGTCCATCGCGTCCGTATCTTGTCCACCGCCATTTCCTGTCAACACCTGGCCGTTCTCTTCTTCCGGGCCAACCTCCGTCGTGGATCCTTCGCTGTAGACACGAAACACGCGCCATTTCCTTCACTGTTTTACTTGGCCATTTAATTGCTATTTTAACTCAAAGCGAAATCGCCAAGCTCGCAATACGATTCGTACGTAAACGTAAGAACGCCGTCGTTATCAACGAGGCAATTCGATTTCTCTTATCGGAGGATGACTTACGGTGAAAGGTGTCGTCGCATAGACCTGGAATGAAGGCTTTTCAAGGGCATGTGCGGATGGGGATAGCTTCTTTTCCGATGCTCTGCAATAAAACCATCGAACGAATACGCTTTTACGCGAGCAAAGGTGTTGGCAGTTTGGTTAAGCGATTGCCCTAACATCCCACTGTCGCGTAATCCCCGTAAAATATACGTACAACATCTGTGATTTACGACACACGTACGAATTAACCGGGGAATAAAATAGGACTAGAAAGACGCATGAATCTCGTTGGCAATATTATATAAAAGTATAAATAATGTTGCGGTGTGGCAGTATTGTTTTAACCTTGGACCGCGAGAAAAATTGATTTACGTAACTGTTTTCTGTGTGCCGGAATCGGAAACGATGAATTATTGCCATCGTGAGTTACGTGCAAAAGCTACAAAAGCTGCGTACGTTTCGCTGGTGAAATCGTGGCAGCGTAAAATATTCCGTTGGCAACTAAGTGATTGCGCATTTCGTCATTAGATGGTATCGACAGAATCCGCGATCGCTTAGTTGCCAAGCCAATAAATGGAATTTCGACGCGAACGAAGGTTTCAGAGGATCACGTACGGTTGAAGTCGCGATCTCCATATCGCGACGATGGTCCTCGTTCTCGAT